TTCTTTCTTCTCGGAGCTCCCAGCTGATCTACCCATGGTCAATAACGTCTGCGACATGGCGTCGGATCCGCTTCTTGGGTTTCAACCCATGGTACCCTCTAACTTAGCTCCTGCGCCGGGAATTGCACCGGTCGAGACCACTGTGCAGCCCATTGAGATGGGTGAGCCAGAGGTTGAACAGACGAACACGTGCTTCTCCGAGACGAAGTCGCTAGTGGGCTCGGCGTGGGATGCTTTGCAAGAGCACATCCTGTCGTCTATGGTGAAACTCCAAGGCCACAGGGGCAACTACATTGCCAACCAGCTCAGCTCCATGTCGATCGAGACAGTGGCGGCGACGGGCCTACGGGCTTTACAATCGCTCATCGACGGCCAGCAACCGTCGTCAGCCAGCGATGCTTTGTGCTTGATCCACCTCGTCTACGCATTTTCGTTGGTGCTCCATGGGCAGGAGGCCGCCGACCGCGCCAACAGCCTCTTTCTACAATCTTTGGTTTATGTCAACGGGCTACCGTCAAACGACAGAAAGCTTTACCATCAAATTGTTTTAAACATATGGCAACCGCCAAACTTCAACCCGACCGAGGCCAGCCGTCACCTTTCCGCGGCGTTAGGTAATACGTCGGGGCTTTCGCTTGATCCCAAGGGGAAGTCGCCAGAGGGTTCTATCAAGGGTCTGGGGCGGCGAAACGACGCAGTACTTGCCGTGTCGCGTGATTTCCTTGATGGTATGTTGTTCTACCCGACAAACGTATCTTGGAACGCAGCTAACCGCGCACAGAACTTGAGATCAGTCTCTTGGATCAAGACCCTCCTCCGCTCAATGCTCAAGGGCCCGACGTGCATATCGCGCACCTAAAGGACGTAAACCCAACCGGTTTGATGGAGGTAGCATTGGTTTCAACGGCAAAAGGCGTCCTCAAGATGCTTGTTCAACGGTTCAACGATGCTAGTCTGAGGACGATGCTCGAGGAAATCTATCAAAGGCTCCGCACCTGCAGCATCTGCAGCATCCGACGTTTCGAAGTTGAATTACTTCAGGCTGGCAAGGTGAGTTATACGAATCGAGACTTTGGTTGCTTCGCTAACAATGAGATGCAGACCTGCCTGCCTACTGGAAAGTTCTTGGGCGATTTTGTTCCGAACGTCAGAGAGTTGTGCGACCGAATATACGAACAACACGACGTGGGACCCTCGCGGCGCGACGTCTACCACGGTTATGGCGTCAAGTTGATCGAGAGCCTCGTATCGGAGTTCGGCCGGTCAAGCAACAAACCGAGGACACCACCGCCCGACGACATCGATATGTTCTTGAACGACGTCTCCGAGGCAGGCAATACACCAGCGCATCCACAATCGGCCACCTTCCCCGAGCTCAACGACTCTGATTCGAAACCAATCCAGCTCCCCACGCCGACGGCAAGCCCCGGCGACAGCCCAGCGAGAAACTCGGCAGGGAGCCCGTCAGAGCAGGCGCAGCAGCCACCAACCGAAACACCAGAACAGCAACAGTCAGGGCAAAAGGTGAACGCGGATTCGTGCTGCGACATCTGCGGGTACCGGCCCAAGGGTGACCCGCAGTGGTTCAAGGGCAGCATGGCCAAGCACATTAAACTGCAGCACAGCAAGGCGCCACCCAAGATCTACAAGTGCCCGTATCCCGGATGCACCAGCCAGTACAAGAACCGGCCGGACAACCTGCGGCAGCACCAGATCGAAAAGAACCACTGGGTACAGGGTGACAAAAGCACTTCCAGGCGGCCTAACAAGAGGAAGAAGGTGGCGGAAGAAGATTAGATGTGATTTCTAAGGTGTTGGCAGAGGGCTTGGGGGTTGGGGGTTAGGGATTGGGGGTAAGGGAGGCATTTGTTTTTGGATTGGAGCGTATTCCTTTCTTGGCTTGTATAACTCATGATACCACTTGGCATAGCGATGGATTTCGCATGCTTGGGAACGGGATTTGGATAAATATAGGATGGGCGGGTCCTGGATAATAAGGGCGACTTGGTAGGGTCAAGTCTAACACTCGGTGTGTTGGAGAACTCGGAGTGATGAATCCCAAGAGGTTCTAAAACTATTTTGATATAATATCTGGGGTAGCCCCTGTGGAACGGGTACTCTCGGTATCACTAGCACGGCTCATGGCGGGCAGCTGAGCTTGTATGTCCTAGTATTCCGACCCAATCGTTGGTTAACGGGAGTAAATAAATACTCGTATCATACGATTCTACTAGAACATTAAGCCATTAAGACATCCCCCTTTCCTTTCATTAACTAGCATCTACTTCGGCGAGGAATTACTCCTGAAAAACAGAGATCATAAGCGTACCGCTTGGGTACAGAAAGTACATCCGCTCACTCATCTATGGTATGTACCCCACTCACCTCGGGCCGCAAGCTCAAGTCAACATCACCCCACACCCAAGCATCTCATCTCATCTTATCTTCATCTTCATCTCACACACATCAAGCTGTGATTTCACCACCACCAACCCCCAAATCACCGATAAACAAAAACAAAAACCGAAACAAAAACTACAAAACCCAAGCCAACAACCGACAAAATGACATCCATCCCTCAAATCACCGTCCTCGGGTCCCTCAACATGGACCTCGTCGCCTACGTCCCGCACCGTATGTGATATCAGTTTCCCTCACACTGGCATTCTCTCGACCTTTGCTAACGGTGGCATGTGTTATTACAGACCCTCTGCCGGGCGAGACCCTCACGGCGGACGAGTTCGCGACGTCCCCGGGTGGGAAGGGCGCGAATCAGGCGGTGGCGTGGTATGTTTGGGTTCCTTTTTGTTTTCTTGCTTGGGGTTGGGGGGAGGGGTGGTGGTGGTGATGGTTTGGCGTGGCAGAGGTGCTGACGTTGTTTGTGGGATATAGTGCGAAGCTCTCGCGGGCGAGGCCTACGCCGGGCGTGGATGGGGGGGAGACGGCGAGCGTGGCTATGGTGGGGTGGTAAGTCCTTTTCTGGTTTTATATTCTGAGGTGGAATGGGAAGATAGCAGTTTCTGTTGTTTGTTCTGCGGCTAGGCCCCGTCCTCTGCAGCAGAACCGGGAGCACATAGAGAACCAACCCCCGTTCCCCTATCACATGCACATCATTCCCCCTAACCCAAGCCACCCAACTAACCCAACCCCCTAGCGTCGGCGCCGACGGCCACGGCACGCAACTCCAAGCCAGCCTCACCAGCTACGGCGTCTCAGTCTCGGGCGTCTCCGCGCGCCAGGGCCTCAAAACGGGCGTCGCCCTCATCATCGTCGACAAGCCCACCGGCGAGAACCGCATCGTGCTCTCCCCCGGCGCCAACCACGCCCTCCAACCCGCCGACGTCCAATCCCTCGACCTCCTCCGCACCCCCAACCCCACCAACCACCACCCCCGCCTCCCCGACCTCCTGATCATGCAGCTGGAAATCCCCTTCGCCACGGTCCTCGCGGCCCTCACCGCCGCGCGCGCCCATAACGTCCCCGTGCTGCTCAACCCGGCGCCCGCGCGCCCCCTGCCCGCGGAGGCCTACCTCGGGCTGGCGCACCTGGTGGTCAACGAGACGGAGGCGGCGATTCTGGGGGACGTGGAGGAGCGGGTGCTGGACGAGGAAGCGGGGCTGGAGGCGGTGGCGGCGGGGTTTGTGGAGAGCGGGGTGCAGAACGTGATTATCACGCTGGGGGGCAGGGGCGTGTATTATAGGGCGAGGGATGGGAGGTCCGGGCTGGTGCCCGCCGAGAGGGCGGTCGTGGTGGATACCACGGCGGCGGGGGATACGTTTGTGGGGAGGTATGCGTTGGATGTGGTGGCCGGGGGGAGGGGGGAGGGGTTTGATATTGAGGCGGCGGTTAGGAGGGCGAATAAGGCGGCGGCGAAGACGGTGGAGAAGGCGGGTGCGCAGGACTCGATTCCGTGGAGGGATGAGTTGGAGTGAGCGGGGTGGGGGTGGTTGGGGTTGTGAGGTCGAGTGGTTTAGAGAGCAGGCATGGGGTGTAAATACTGCGTTTGAGGGGGCATCCAGGCTTGATTCGCTGTTCTACACTCATCTCTATTATGGCCGAATGACCAAGCTACACTACATCTCGCCCTATTCTAAGGATACACATACGGGGGATCCTGCTTCGACCATCCGTCTCCGCGAAGGGGTTTGAGAGACTTCACGTCGAGTCCGTTGATCAGGCGGAGGTTGAGGGGTTGCGTGTTGATGTGGTTGGTCCGGAACTGCTGGTACATCTCCGGCAGCGCGGCGATTTCTTCCGCGGTCAAGTCCGGGTTGACCTCCGAGCCAATGTACACGCCACAGGTCTTGCAGAACAACTTGCGCCAGATGGTGTTGCCGAATTTGTAATACGATAGGTTGTCGCGGCCTTGGATGGCTAGCTGGTTTGACTGAGGGTAGATCCAAACAAAGCCGCCCTGTTGGGAGGGTTAGTGAGTCTACGGCATAAAATAGAAAAGGGGGCCGCATACCGTTCGGCAGTAGCTGCAGTTGCACTCCATGAGGCGGCCGTCGTAGGTGCCGTCCTCGAGGGAGCCCTTGACCCTAACCGCCGTGGTTACGGCTCCGCAATGGCAGCTCCCGTGGTAGGTCTTGCCGTCCTCGAAGCCAGCAGGGGCCGGTTCGTCACCCGAGAAGGGGGGAGCGGCATACGGCGTGCCGTATGTGTCGCCATTCGACCTAACCCAGCTTATGTTAATGGCGGCTGATAAGGGCGGGCAGGGGGGGATACCTACGTCTTGACCTCGAGGCTCCAGAGATCGAGCTTTTGAATCGTCCGCACCTAATCCCACACCCTCTGTTAAGCACCAGCACACAAACACACCTCCTACCCCCCAGACAGACAAACAGCCAAAACTCACATTAATCCCCACCCCGGCAGGAAACATCTCACTCTTCGCCAACACCGTCGTCCCACAGTTCCCACAAAACTAACACCCCATCAGTCAGTCAACCACCAACCAACCAACCAACCCCCCCCCCCGGAGCTCAATAAACAGACAACCAACTCACCCGATGATCCAAAGGCCCCGACGCAAAGCTATACCCCACC